TTTTTTTTTCACCTTTTTTTTTTTTTTTTTACGTATATAATAACCTGTTTTTTTAAATTAAAAAATTTGAATTTGTTTTTTAACACCAGTAATAAAAAAAGGGTTAACCCTGGGGGGAAGGGACATGCATGCATCTCCCCCTTTGGCATACAATTTTATGTGTTGCCCCCCCCATATGCAGGATGCACACCTTTCCGTTGAACACGGGTTTAAAAACATCATTTGGAAATTGGGGGAATGGGGGAGTAGTTCTGCTTTACAGAGGCCGTGCAGGCTCGATACTCGACCTTGTCGCAGGGCAGACAAGACCAATGTAATTACAATGGACGTGAAAATGTAAGCACGGGGGGTACACAAACTGGGAATCAATGCAGTAGGACGGCTACGCCTATATACACATATATATATCATGTAGGCACGATGGAAGAAGCTGCTACTAAAGTGGGCAATTCGAAATTTATGTGAAAGCTCGGGGGTGCTCTCCCCTTAGAACTACATGTACTGTACACATGTACATACGTGTGTGTGTTCAAAGGGGCTTTTTTTGGATTGTTCGTCTCCATTTTGCTTACTCCTTTCTTTTTTTCTCTTTTTTTTTGTGTGTCAACAAATCAGGCATGGTTAAGGGTTATCCGAGGAATCATGGAGTAAGACATATTCTCGCGCTGAACTTCCAAACCGTAGTATGTCAGTTTGTCTACACAGTGGGGGAAAAGGAAAACATGTATGTGTGATCACCTCATAAGGAGCAAACATTCGAGGGGAGGTGGACGTCTGCCACTTGAAGGAGCCACAACGAGATATAACTCTACGAAGCAGTTCTTTAACAGAGCTGGCGTACGCAGGGGCGGTACACTCCCCAGTGTTGGCAGGAGGCTCCCAGAAGTCTCCCCTCGCCGTTTCTGGTCGGTTCTGGACGCTTCTGGACGCTTCTCAAACTTACCTCAATTCATAGAACTTGTTCGGCTCGATTAGGTTGTTGTTCAAATATGACCCATTGGTACTGCTCAGATCGAGGAGAAAGGGAATCACTTGGCTTTCATGCTTCTTAAATTGTATTACCGCGTGCTGCTTCGATATGGTTGGGTTTGCCAGCTTTATGTCTACCACCAAATCGTCCTTTCCAATTAGGTAGCATGATTTGCGGTGTAAGTGGAGTATTTCTGCGCAAAGGAGGGGGGGAGAGAAATAGTGTGCCATCTGGTTGCCAATTAAGTGACGTTGGTGAAGCACCAAATTGGAGTTACTCGCAGGGAATGATGTTCCCCGCTTTGTTATTCCTTTATGTGTGCTCTCACCGGGCATGTGGCTCAGCGCTGGTAATTATTGTAACCTCCTTGAGTATCTGACTTGGCGTACCCTTTTGGAGAGCATATCCCAAAGTATACCCTCGCTGTCTTTTTCTTTTCTTTTTCTTTTCTTTTTTTTTTTTTCTTCACTATTTCCGCTTACCCGCAGGATTTTTCGTGTTTGCATTGAGGAACACGTACAATCTCCACTTCTTATCCGGAAGCTCGGAGTCTATACTTTCAATATACTTCAACTCTATTCCATTTTTGTAGTTCTTGTCCTGTGCAAGTAACCCCGAGGGGTTGAAATTCTTCTCTTCCTTAGGCTCATTTTTATTTGTTTCTTCCTGCTCTTCAGCATCTTTCTGCTCGTCTTTTTTTACATGGACTTTCTCTGAACGTTTACCCTTCTCGTGATGGTCGTAACTATGCATATGGTCCTTATCCCTGTTGCTGCTTCTTCTCTCTTTGTCTTCTCTGTGACGGGTGTGGAGGTTATCATATTCGTTATGCCCTCCCTTGCCCCTTTCTCTACTGGTGTCATAACTGGGGAACCGGCTACGATCGGTGTCCTTGCTTTCTCTGGACATTCTATTTTTTTCCTTTCGATAATATTTTTTTTTTTCTTCCAATGTTGGTTCTTCTTCATTTGTGTTTGATCCGCTGCTACTACGATTCTTGCGTTTTAACTTTTTGGAAATGTGTTCCCTTTTGCGTTCATCATCTTCGTCTTGCATGCGCTCCGTTTCTTCGGCACGCGTTTTCCTCTTGCCGAGGGATATCATTTCCCTTTTCTGCCTGCTGTGTTCAGATCGCCTGTTTCGAATGGCATGGCGCTCTTCATCTTCTTCATCCTGTCGGTCTGCGTGGCGCGCGCGGCGTTCTGGGCGATAGCAGCTGTCGCGAGCATCGTGACTTCGGCCACGTCGTCTGCTTCGACGACTTCGACCGCTTCGACCACTTCGACAACTTGGACCATTTCTGCTACGTCTGTCCCTTTTGCCGCTCCTTCCTCCTCTGCCACTCCTACTTCTCCCACTTGTGTCGCTACTTCGGCTTCTGCTGCCGCCACGCCCCCATCTCTCGGCATGCACTGCGCTCTGCCTACACTCTACAGTTTTTCCATCCATTTCGAGCCTGGCAACTTTTTCATACTGATCATAATCTGCACCTTTCTCATGTTTCTGGAAT